TGATACTACTGCTGCTGCTACTACTACTACTACTACTCCTCCTCCTCCTCCTTCTACTACTAATACAACTACAACTACAACAACAACAACTACTACTACTACTAATACTACTACTACTAGTACTACTATTACTGATGCTGCTGCTACTACTACGGCTGCTTCTTCTACTACTACTACTACTACTACTTATAATAATACGACTACTACTACTACTACTTATACTAACACCACCACCACCACAACCACTGCCGCTCAGTGGCGGATCCATAAGGGGGGGGGGGCCGGGGCGCGGGCGGGGACCTGGGCCCCCTCCCCTGGCCAAAAAACACAGGTAACACACCTTTTTTGTTAAAATGATGAGTAAAAAAAAATAGCACTGTCCCACGCCCGCCTCCCGTTGAGCAACAACAACAACAATAAGTGTTGTCACTACCCACCTCCCCCCTCCATTTCACAAATGGGCCCCCTCTCCGGTCCCTCCCTTGCCGCCGGCTGGATCTGCCCCTGCTGCCGCTACCACCATTTCCACCACTAGTACCATTTCTACCAGCTAAGTAGTCATCCGGGACTTTGCAGCTCTTCAACACCTACATGTAAAACGACAGTTAAAAATGATGATGATGATGAAATAGATATTATCAAAACTGATAAACAAACATAAACCCTTTTTCAACTATTTCTTCCAATTGAAACTTATTCATGAATATTGCATTTTTCTTTGCTTTTACGATTTGATTGTTTGTGTTAAATATAAACATCATTTTCTTTATATTTTGTACAGTGCCCTTGAAAATTCAGGAGTTTCAGAGATTGAACACGGATCATTTTCAGAAAGTTCAAATATTTTGCACCTGTAAGTCTTACAGCATCATCTGCATACCTCTTCAAACTATACAAGAGAAAAAATAGTTATTTATATTAAAAAAAAACAATGTTATATTTTATTCATTTTTTTAGTAATATTGTTATTACTGTTATAACTCTGATGGCTCCAAAACTTACATAACGCAACTAATCTATTCAGTTCAAAAGTAACAGTTAATCCAATTCAATTAGAATAGAGCTCAGGGTAGCTGTCAATAACTTCATAATTTACTTAAAAATAACCCTATGTTCCTTATGTTTGGAAACATCAAATTCGTGGAATATTTATAAAGTGGCGGTGTCGTGGTATAGTGGTTCGTTTACTTGACTCTCACTGCAATGGTTGTGGGTTCGAATCCTAGTCTGGCACTAATGACATGTGTTAAGACATTAATCCATATTTGCCACTCTCCAACCAGGTGTAATCGGGAACCCGACAATTGCTGGGGCAATTATAATTGCATGGCCTGCAGGAAGACGAGGTTTAATACTGGTATGGCTACACTGGGTATATAAGACCCAATAGGCCATTTTCGTAATGTAACCAAATTTATGCACGTGCCTTTGTGAGGCGCCTGTATATAAATCATTTCAATCAGGTGTTACGAATAAATGTATCTCAATAGTCAGAATTGAAACTGAATATATTAGTTGTTGCTAGGTAGGACAAACATGTTGGCTGGCCCTAACTAAAAACACGTCACACTCGCAAATTGCATTATGATTATTAAAATACAATTATTCGTAACAGGAAAATGAAATAATACGTATCGGGGCACTAAAGTATAGATTTCGTTATCCTTACGAAAATGGCCTATAATCATTTATTATTTAAGATGAATGTTGATGTACTGATGAGTTTGCCTTTCCTTTTTCTGTCAGAGATCTCGCATTAAATGACATCTACATGTTATTTAAAGGCGCATTCCGAGGTCTACAACGATTGGCTACTTTGTAAGTTTCTCTTTAAATTGTATTTTCCATGCTTCTGGTTATTAATGTTTGTTTATATATGTTTATATTACATTTCAATGTTTTCTTATATTTTTGTTTTGTCTTGAGTACTATGTCTAGTGATCTTATGTTTGATGATTTGTAAACTTTATATTATTATCTATAATAAATGTTGCACTGAATTGAATAAATACGTGTGTCTGAGAATTTTCAAGCTACTATTTTCGTGGTACTACATTTAAAATAACAGTGTAGAGAGTTTTCCGAATACTCCATGTGTAGCTCACTACAAGGATGAATGCATTTGGAATCCACGAAATTCATTTGTGTTTAGCTGTAATTAATATGCCATTTAAGCTCCAGTTCGTTTCGAATTATGTATATGCTTATTCTTTTCATAATCTTTAAAGTTTGTTATCTATGGGAAATTTATTACAATCCTTTGGAATACATATAGATTTCTAAATCAATATAAACCTGATCCATAAACATATGCAATAATCCCATTAAGAGGAATAAAACGTACATTATCGACAGAATGTTATCATAAAATTAGAAAATGTTTCTACCTCTCTCTTTCAGGAACCTTTCTAACAATCCTCTGCAGATGATTGAAATAGGAACGTTTGATAACCTAACCAACCTCCAAGAGTTGTAAGCACATTTTATTCAATTTCTGGAAATAGAAAATATTATATCCTGTAACAAATAGAGGCGTTTATGGGCTTAATTTAGCTGTTGTATAGCAGATGACATAACATTACTTTAAAAATAAAAAATCAAATTATGTTTAATTATTTGTTTGGAATAGGTAGAGAATGTTTTTATGTGAAATAAGAATTGTGTAAATTTGTCCCATTGCCTGTATAAATGCAATGTGATTTTATCAAATAGTAAAGGAAAATAAAATACTTACTTTACCCTGACACTGCTTAAAGTTCTTATTGTTCTCTGTGTTGGTAAAATCGTTGCTGAGTATTCACTCATCCTGAAAAATGTCTACATTATTAATATTCGATTAATGAATAAGGTGTTTGTTCTATACACTGTAGTATCGATTACATTTTCAATGTCTGCTAGCAATAAATATTTGTTGTTTGTTTGTGTTTCTTTGCAGGGATATTCGAAACACACTAATATTTGAAGCAGGCGATACTGAATTTGGCGCGTTCACAGGCTTACATAATCTAGAAACCTTGTAAGTTTATAAGTTACTATATATTAGTCCAAATTAAATCTGATATTAAAAACACAGAATTGAAGAAAATAAATAAATGACGACAGACATGAAACTCGAAAAAGAAGGAGGGGGGGGGGGCTCCTAGTGGCATAGTCATAGGAAAGAAAAGAAAAGGATTTGTTGAATGGGATCTTTTTTTTTGCACGGTCTGTGACAGATGTCAATTTCTGGGTTTGGAATGGATGTCATGGAGGTGGTAATGATGGTAAGGGGAGTCTAAGCATGGGTGAGTGTTTCAGATTTTTGCTTTAATTATATCTGTTTGTATCATCTGTGCATCTTCCACATCTTGTCCGTGCATTCCTTTTCCTTAGCCGTCTTCTGTTAGTTTTGAAATCCAGATAACGGATAGAATTGGGGTTGATGTAACATTAATAAGAGTTATCATCTAATACTGTTTAATGAACTAAAGCATCCTTACCAATATGATTTTCATACATGTTTTTGTTTAAATATATATAGGTATGCTGACAAATACCTTATTTGCTGCCTGGCGGGTTTAGGGGATTCCCCTAACTGCAATGCACCACGTGACCAGTTCTCGTCGTGTGAAGATCTCATGGCCAATAACATCCTTCGAATCTTTATCTGGATTCTTGGGACCAGTGCTTTCATTGGCAACGTCCTTGTTGTTGGCTATAGACTCGTCAATTCTGGATGGGGCCGGCATACAACCGTCCAATCGAGCCTGATCACCAACCTAGCCGTCTCTGATTTCTTGATGGGTTTGTACATGATTTCAGTAGCTTCAGTTGATGTCTATTATCAAGGGAACTATGCTGCTCATGCTGATGATTGGAAGGATAGCATCCTGTGCAAGGTTGCAGGTATCACTTCCGTTGTCTCCAGCGAGGCTTCGGTGTTTCTGATAATGATCATAAGCATTGATAGGTGTGTCCATGTGGTGGCGCCATTCAAACTGCAACTACACCTCTCTGTCCGTGGTGCCCGAATAGTTGAGCTCATCATCTGGGCCCTCGCCGCCTTCCTTGGCATTCTACCAACTCTTATTCCGGCTTTTGTAGAAGGGAAGTTCTACGGTCAATCAGGAGTCTGTCTGGCTCTACCCCTAACGGTCGACCGTCCTGCAGGATGGCACTACTCCATCTCCTTGTTCATAGGTGTCAACTTCGTGGCGTTTCTGGTGACCCTCCTATGCTACATCTCCATCTACTGCATGTTTCAGATGTCGAAGCAGCGGATCGTCGGGAAAAGGAACAAGTCTAAGGAGGATATGCGATTGGCTGAAAACATCAAGCTGGCATCTAGGATGGCGCTTGTTGTTGGTACAGACCTTGTTTGTTGGTTACCAATTATTGTCATGGGCTTGATGTCAGAGAGTGGATATCTGACAATTTCTGCACAGGTGAGTTTCCATTACCACACCTCTAATAAAGTGGTCGTAGACAAAGTTAGGGCAGAGCAATTTGCCCTTTTGGATAATTATTTGGGGGGGATGTGTTGTTCGGTCTGTTAGATCGTTGGTCAAACTACGGGCTATCATCCGGCACTCATAGAGAAGATGAGTACTTTTTTATTTGGTGGAAAGATCAGGCGGTATTACCTCAGGAAATACCAAAGTGGAAAGACATTTATTCAGGAGAAATGTAAACCTATTTTCAAGCTGAATTGTTTAAAGACCAACTCATGTCCGCTGTCTTATAGCCATAAAAGTAGCACAACGGTGTTCCTTTTTGTTTACGTCATGAAAATACTTGAGAGTTAATTTGACTTGCTCTACAATATACATTCCATTATCATAACGATTAATATATTTTTTTTTACTATGAAGGTATACGCATGGACAGCAGTTTTTGTGCTACCCGTCAACTCGTCTCTTAATCCATATCTTTACACTCTTGCATCGATTCGTCAAAGGAAGCAGAAATCCGCTGAGAATCGAAGCATGAAGTACGAGGAAAAGAATATGGGTAAGGACTGATATCTCTCTCAATGGATCTAGTGAAGTGTGTCGAAAATCTGAACGCGTGCCACATCTAGTATTTCGACATGTTTATCCTGTCACAGATTTTACTATTTTCAGCTAGTAAAAGACTGTTTGGTTGATGATTAATGCTAATGAGTTTGCTGTTCTAACTGTCAAAGTCGACTATGTCGATACATAGGCACCCAAAAAATGAATAGAAGTATATTATTCTTAATATATCAGTTCAAGTTCATTGATTTTTGCAACTTATGGGATATATATTTGACTTGCCCATAAAGATATTAATCCTTTCTCAGGGGACAATATTTTAGACAACTTTGACCTCGAGTTGATTTCTTGAAAATGTTTGCGAGCGCGTTTCACGCTGTTTTACAAAGGGTCCCGTAACACGGATGTTTGTAATCAATTGCAAATTTGAAACAACGATTGTGATTGGTAAATGGTTAGCCTTTTGAACAATATTATAGTGCATTAATGATCTTGATTGGCCATTGCTATTTTTGCGAATGATTGCTAATTTGTTTTACGGGGCCCAGAAGTTTATTTTCCCTTCATTTAATGGATGCTTCTAATGACCCATTGATCCCTTACAGAAGCCAGTATTTTTGACGACACTTCAATCATCTCAGCATTCACGTCTCTGCCCAGCCCCTCACCTGAGCGACTGATCAAATGGGTAAAACGTAACCAACGATCTCTTGGACGTTTAGAAGTCGATGTGATTCAACGTGACGTCACAAAGGCTGTGGAAAGAATGAAGGAGTCTGGACTATGGAATGACGTCATACTCAACTTGCATCAAATTGCCGTCCAAGCAGTAAGTTTGAGATTTGTTTTGGAAGTGAGATTAAAACTGTTTAAACGATCGAAATGACTTTGGAAATATTAATGAATTGTATCTTCAATAGCCTTGTACATCATTTGATTTCACGGAATCTTTGTGATCCTGTTTTTTAATGAGAGATGAGTGAGGGACAAACTTTATAGGAACACAACAATATATATCTGTCTATACCCTTATCTAATATCTGAAAAAAGCCAAGGGTAACTTTTCCATTTAGGTAAAGTAAGTATTGACTAAAAGGTGCTATTAATTTTTTTTTTACAGGATGGTGCGGGAAGAATCATACACGCTTTTGTAGTGTTAGACTCATCTCTGACATTCCTTGAATCACGTGATGAAGATCTGACGACCATTCTGGAGAATGATGGAAACATTGACATCATACTCAATATAATTGCGAGGGCAAATATGCCAAAGTAAAGAAAAGGAGAGAGATCGGGAATTGTAAGATGGGAATGAATCATGAAATAACGAGATTTGTTAGTAGCTACATGGAGTATTCAAGAAAAGTGAGAACACCTCATGAAAAACGTTAATTATTGAATTTAAGTTTCTATTGCACTACATTGTTTTAATGAAGAAATGTGTTGTACCTTTAAAATCAATCATGATAGAAAACCGAATCTAGTATTGCTTTAAACAGGCCTCTGATTTAATCAATTTGTAAAAAGTTATATCAAACTCTTTTGTTAGGGGTTGTGGATAATAATGTACGTCTAACTGTAAATATAGAGGAAGTGATATTTTTAGAGAATAAATTCTATTTACCATGATGTTATGGTTAAAGCCTAAGTCACACTAGGCGTGCACGACCGGTTGCTGTCTTCTGACAAGCAAAACAGAGCTGCGACCATCGACAACCAATTTGAAATAATGTATAGAGGGCGATCATTTTCCGATCGGTTGCGGAATGTTGTACAAAATTGGTCCATCATGAAAGATTTTCGTAAACTAATTTGCGACCGCGCGTGGAAATATTGGCAAATGGTTGGCAGTTGGTCAGTCATTGATCGGCGATAACAAATAATTGGGTGGAGAAGAATGGACGATGTTCTTACGACCGTCGGCAAGCTTAACCTTGGGGGAGGAATAATCCTGATGCAAACACACAATACACTTCTTGCTTATTGTATTTGTTTATATGAGATGAGATTTTATTTCAAATTTATTTATTTTTTGTTTAAAAGACAAATAAGTATGTTGCATTGGAGCCTATTATTATGTTTTGATCAGAAAAAGTCAAACAAAACAGAAAAAGGGATATAGGAAAAAGGTTAAAATGGAAGCTAGAATGAAGATGGCGAAACTGCGTGCAGATAACAGAGAGAATGTAGTAGGTAATCAAAAAGGAGAGTAAACGAGGAGTATACTGTGTAAGGGATATGGGAATTCGGTTACACAAACATGACAAATAAGAACAAAAGTTATCTCTTATTATATATTTTCAAGTGGCTGCCTCGTTAAAGACATTACCATGACATGTTTTTATTACTTTTGTTTTTTGGAACATCTATAAAGCTAAATCTAGGGTGCATTATGAAGGGGAGGAAATTTCCCCCCAATATAACAGCCAGTAGCATAATTGTGTAACATGTATACATTAATAAATCAGACTTTATTTTACTTTTGGACTTTTGGAGATTAATCGGCGACTAGACGTGTATCATTCGTCAATCAGCTGTCGTTCTTTTCTCAACCAAATATCGCCTGGAAATAGTCGTCAATCATTGTAGATCAATTGAGGCGATCAGTCGCCAATCAATCTGAGAACTGTCGCCTATATACCCTTGTAAAATCAAGAACAAACCTTTCAGTGACCAGTCTGGTCGACCAGTCCGGCCGACCAGTGGTCGGAAGTCGACGACCGGTCGTAGCTCTCGTATGACTTAGGCTTTAGCTAGCGATGAAGTGTACAGAAATAGCATGATGTTTGATAATAAATACTTCTTCATAGATTAAGCTTTGTTTACATAACTTTATAATCACATTGTACAGAAAAGAGCAATCGTTAAGAAAAACTGTTTGTTGGAATGTGTTGATATATATTTATTCTATTTATAATATTTGTTTAGCATCCGATTATCAATTTCTCTCAACAGAACTGCTAATTTCTAGAATTTGTTCCGCTTTGGTTAAAGGTACTATGTCCTATTCGCAGGCCAAACAAATGAAAAGGTTATTATAATGGCATTTGAGAGATAGTACTAATTTAGAACTTCCCTCAAAACAGAAGGGTTTGAAATTGTCTTTATGTGTGAAAATAACTAGTTGTCGAATCGAATTTAGCGATCGCGGTCGTTTAATATGATTGACGAGTGGTTGTGCGTTTTGTGCTGCGCAAAGATTCAATCAGCTTAAATTTGGCCATTACAACAAGTGGGTTATTGATGTGGACAAATGCTCATGTACTTGTTGCAAACACATGCCTTATTTGAACCAGAATAAAAGAATTGAATGATTCAGAGTATAGTACTTCATACAGTAAACAGTAAAGAGAGAAACTATTTTATAAAGGTTGAACTAACTATATTCAACAGGATCGCAACTCTCTTCGAGAAAGTTAGAAAAGGGCAATTTCAATTATACCTATCATATTTCCCATAGGAATCATGTTTGGATTACGTTATCATCATAATTAACTTCCCACATTTCAAAATGTTACGTACAAGGCTATTGAAATTGCCTAAATCTTGATTTTTCAAAGATACATGTATAGTTGCGATTGTGTTATATGGGAATCTTTTATGCATGTATTTTGTTGTAAAAGTAATCCCATTAACCTCTTCCTCACTGTCGGAATTGAGAGGGACATACATGAATGTTACACGAACATAAACGAATTATAAAGATGTACTAACTACAAATGAAGCATTAGAAATGTAAAGAGATGATTGGTACTGCAAAATCAACAAATAGCAACCAAAACAGACATAACTAGAAATGCAATCGTGTCACAACGATGTGCGTGCAATGACGCCATGTTTCTACGTGTCAAACGAAAGAGCTTCTCTCGCCCTATCCAGAGCAATTTGTACGAAGTCTGTAGCTTCTGTGATATTGGAGATAGGTAGGGCGAAAGAAAGGCCTCAACAGTGACCTTGATGGGATGGTAGTGACTATGCCTACGAAGTTTGAAAGAAATTGGGATATGGGAAAGGACGTGGAAAGGGCTCGCAAGCACTGCGTGCAAAAACCAAGGGGATTTGGTGCATGTTCGTCATTGCAATAAAGATCGTTCTGGGGGTCAAAAGCGTGAACCCGATATGCCCCATAGACAATGCGTGTAATGCATGAGCGGAAAACGTACAGGATCTGTATTATGACCGGAGTTAAATTGTTTTTTCTCTCTCTCTTTATGTCTCTTTATGAGCCGTATTTGGTATCATTAGAAAGAGAATTTCATGAATGTTATTGTAAACCACTCTCTTTTTTCCCATGATAATCCTATGGAAACACGTGATGTAAAATAGATTTATAGGACAAAATGGCGTCTTAAATAGCCACATTGACCAATTTTAAAAATCCGGCAATGAGGTGCCCTGCGTATTGGAACTCGGCATGTCACTGCAAATTTTCAAGGAAAAAAAAGGACGTTTAAGGGGCGAAAAGCAGTCTGAAAAAATGACGTCATAGCCGATACGTGTTAGATTCGGGCGGAAACTCGGCGGAATTCGTGTAGTGATCTTTGTTCAAATGCGATTTATTCACAATTTTCTGTGTGAACATATACTATACTTGGTATCATTCGAAAGGGCACTTCATTGCGGTCAGTTTGACACCATTGTTATCTTCGCGCAATGTATTGCACGCATTTAACGCGCTATCACGCAATGCATAGTAAATACATCATTTTTTGAGATAACTTTGCGCTGACATAATCAAATTTTACCAAACTTTGCGGACAGTTGTCACGTATATAAATACATGTGTGTGCCAAGTTTTATTGACGTAGGTCAAAGGATCGTAATTTAAGAGCAAGTTGAAGTTATTTTGGAATTTTCTTGAAAATGGCGAATTTGGAGGGCAATTTTCTCAAATTTGGTCAGTGATAGGGTATATAATTTTGTATATGGCTGGAAAGGGCATATCTTCAAGTATCTAAATCCAAAAAAGGGTACGGGTTTGCCAAGCCATTATGGAGATACGGCCA